CACACACACACACACACACACACACACACACACACACACACACACACAGGGATATCCTGACTATATGACTTTTTTTTTGATGCAGTGTCTCCCTCCTGGCTGCACAATCATTGGCCACAGTAGCTATGGCCTTACAGGTATCCCATCTTGGTTGCCTGTAGCTTCACCTGTACTGGATCTGCAGCTGTATTTATTACAGGCCACCCACCACAACATAAAAAAAGAATTCTAGATGCAACATGTAGACATTAAGGTATATTGGAGCTCAGAAGGCTCACATATATATGAGCTGTAAATCTGCTGCACTCTTGCATGATTTTCAATAAGGAATATTCATTTCCATTTGTTGTTGATAGAGATTAGCACACTTTGCAGTATTGTCACTCCACAAGGCAGGCAGTGGAGTGCATTGTGGGTTCAAAGTATAGACTGGATATAAAAAATGGACAGATCACTCTGACATCATCTATTAGTTAGCAAATGACTTGTTGTAAACATTCAAGCTGAGCGTTTTGGTTGTCAACATTAGTGACATCTTAGTGTTTTGAAACTGGTAATGACAAGTCAGCATTAGTATTATGGCCACAACCATGCTAATCAGCTAATGCTAGCAATGTTAGCAAGCCATATCAATAAACATAACTACCGCGATGCACAGACATAGAAAATGCTAATTAACACTAAATAATAGACTAATTCTGAAATTTCACTCATTAAAACTGAAGACTTTGGCTTTGAGTATTTGTCAGGTATTTCCAATAAAAATCTCTATAACAGCACAAACATGGTGGAGAGGTCTATCTCCCTAAATATTGGACTTCGAATAGATGTGCATATTGGGTCTGTTGGTCCATGATCAATTCTTGACATCTATATGGCGTCCAAACTAGGTTCACAATTTGGACGTCCAACCATGGCCTATCTTGGACGTGAATTTGAACTTTACAACTGGGCAATTCTTTTGGAGGTCATGGGGATGTCTATGGCAGGTGCAAGAAATTTACATTGTTAGTAAATGTTATATTTTTTTATTTACAAATATCAGTATTGTGTTATTCAATTCAATTTCAATTCAATTCAATTTTATTTATATAGCGCCAAATCACAACATAAGTCGCCTCAAGGCGCTTCATAGATACAGAGAAAAAAACCCAACAATCAT